ATACTGCGTCCCAGGATCAGCGTACACCATGCAGTTGTTGCATCTCATGCAAGGACGCTCCTCTGAGTTGTCGCTGATGATGAGTCATAGGAAGTACTACTACATTTGTTCCTTGAATTCTAACTACAGCTCCTCCAAAGTAAAAAATGACGGGACATGCTTCTCATCTTCACAACTTGCCCTTCCATCGCCCTTAGCGGTGTCTCCTGCAAGAGAAGCAGTGCTTGGGCGTTTTGGGAAGGACAACTTGGATCGGATGTATCTGTTTTTGCCTCTAAAATGTGGCTGCATGAATGGTAAGTGACTTTTGAGTGGACTGCGTTCACCAAGGACAGGGTCAGCACACATATGGCTAAGCTACAGCAACAATCTACTAACCCTGCCCAACTACCACCGCCCCTTCCCCTCCGGCCCTAGTGGCCGGAGGGGTCTTCAATCAGTTGATACAGCTGTCCCTCGCTTAAGGGGGTAAACGGGCCCTGCAGGCCTAGCACATCCGCAGTAAGGGCCTCATGGGTCTTGCCCTTGAGGGCATTGGCTTGGGCTGGGTCACACTCAATCGGTGCCGGTACTCGGTAAGCAGCTTAGAAGCCTCCCTCGACTTGGGGGCAGCGTTGAACCGTCACTTGGCCGCTAGCTCCGCGCAGCTGCGAAGGAAACCCAGTACTCCAAAAGAGGGGTAGCCATATGTCTCAATAGCCATGGCGTAGAACCCCACCCAGGCGCTCCGCCCGGCATATTTACTCTCCTTCTTGTCCACCTCTCGCGTGTATATGTGCACCTCCTCTCTCTCCCCCCCTTTCCCCCCCTTTCTCTCTCTCTCTCTCTCTCTCTCTCTCTCTCTCTCTCTCTCTCTCTCTCTCTCTCTCTCTCTCTTTCTCTCTCTCTCTCTCTCTCTTGCCTCCTCCTTACTTGCTGGCCTCTCTACCGTCTTCCTGTGCAGTCTGGTGTACCCCTTCAGGGGGGGTTGTGCACAAGGTTCCTCACTATAGGCAGTTAGGGGGTGTGTTAGAATATACTTATATATTCTTTACAATTGTTTGCAGTGTAGAGTGTAGTGTATCTCACATTTATGTTGGTGGTGCACCCCTGTTAGTTTGCTATATGTACCTTGTGTGCAATAGTGAACCCCCCTTCTTTGTTGGCCAACTTTCTCTCGCTTCCTACCTTAGAATCTTAACAGGGATGTTCAAGATGTTTCCCTGTGCCATTCCACATACTGTTACGACATGAACTAATCATCCTTGTTGCAAGGAAGCTGCTTGCTTCTCAACCAGTAATGTTACAGTTGCGGCAACTGAGGGGCATGCTGTTAAAAGTAACTTAGGCTTAGCCATGGCTTAAGCGTAGAAGGCGGCGAAGTTGGCTGGATTCGTATGTGATGCATCGTTAACCATGCCGTGACGAGAAGCCGATTTGTCAATGACAAGTGGTCATGTTGAGTGTGAGGAAGTCGAAGGTAATAATAATGGTCACATCTGTTCTGCTTCTCCGTGCTGTTCTGCTTCCCCGCTGATGCTCATTGACCCTGCTGCTGCTCGTTATGTTCCAGGTGTGCCTGCTTCGGATGCGAAGGTGTGACATTTTCTCGGTGAAACCCAAGATGATCCGGTTCTAGATTGAGCTCCTTCGGATGACAGTCTGTCCAAGAACCAAAGGCGAGAGTCCGATCGCTGACTGCTGAAGGCTCGTCTCTTTCCATGTTAATAACGAATACGTCATCTTGCTCTACCGCATTCGCAACGTAGAATCCTCCCCTTTTTGAATATAACTTGAATTCTCTACTGTCGTTGTCAATGTCTGTACCTTGGCGTTGGGTACGTAAAGTCTGTTTGTTGAAGACCTGTCACTTCACGTTGAAGTCGTGTCTCATGTTCCACGTAGAAACCGTCATTAGCGCATGTCGTGTACATGCGTAGTGCGCAGCAACTGTCAAGGAACCAGACACTCGAACCGTATTCGGCAGTAGCTTGAACACCGACGTATTGCGGGTTGACTTGAGGATTTGTTGGAACTTATTCTGGAACTTCATCTGAAGCGAAGGTTGGCGGTGAGCCTGTGATGCATGAATTTGTGCAAGCCATACAGGCGAACACGTTTCTCCCCTTTGCGGGCGCTGATGTGGTTTGTGGTTTACTCTGTGCAGCTGATACAGTAAAGGCTTCAACTTGTGGAGGAGCAGCATCAATACTCATAGGTGCTGTTCCCATGTTTACTGACGATGATGACTGTGGTGCTTGTTGTGCTTGAGCTGATGCCATCAACGTTGACATGGCTTGAAAAACTTCTTGTTGTATTACAAGTTCGAGGCCTGCTGCACCATCGCCTACAGCGGAACCATCCCCTGTTACAGCGCGCGAAGGACTGGGACGGTCCTCCAGCGCTTCCAGACCCAGTTGCAGATACAACTGTTCGAGCAGGGCTGGCAAAGGTCACTCTTGAAAGACCAGAGTCGAGTAGTGGGGTGTAAAGGGTTGTTGCGAGCCAGCACCTCCACTGTGATAGTGGGCCTGCCGTTGTTGCTATCCGTCATGATTTTAAGTTCGCCCTAATAATAATAACTTCGGTGATTGAGAATTTGTAGAAACTAGGAAATCGTAAACTCTACTACTCTTATACCATGTTGGGCTAAAAAAATAGCCTTAGGATTATTTAGAGTTTAGTATATAAAACGTATTGCAGCAAAATACTTGAATTCCTGTACTAGTTAAATGTGATAACAAGAATTGAACAATAAAGTAAGATATAAGAGATTTTATAGTCCATGAAGTACCTATTCAAAGATGTACCTGTTTATGAAACGAGCTAATTCATCGAGTCGACTCTACGGAGCGGTATAATCTTGTGTCACGCAAACACTTGCGAGACTGTTTGCATTACTACCTTTAACTCACGCGAAGGTACACTTGTTACAATAACATGTATATAGAAAGATACTACGATATTACTATAGTTTTATACAAGCGAGCTTCTGAATTGTAAGTCATTTTGCCACCCCAACTTAACAATTTCTTGGCGTAACTAAGGTTAGTTAGTATTTTTTTTGGATGGAAAACGGTTGGATAGTTGGTTTTGTTAACAATTCAAATCTGAAAACGAACCAAGGCTAGGGTGTTTTAAGGCGACACGATTGACCGTGGTGAGGCCAGAGTTGTTTAGGGCAACAGAATCGTCCATAGAGGGACGATTTTAGGGCTGCATGGCAAAGGTTAAGAGGGGAGGTGGAGAAAGGGGGGGGGGGTAGACGATGGGGTTGGTGCTGGCTCGTCGGGCTTGGGCCATGGCCTAATATTGGTTCTTTGGTCACGGGATTGTTTTTCAAGGCTTGGCAACCTCGGCTCACACATTTTGACACAACATAGGGAGCGTGCCGGTGGTGGATGAGGATGACGGGGAGGATGTGGAGGAGGAAGAGGCGGAAGAGGAGGAGGAGGAGGAAGGGGAGGACGAGGGGGAAGAGAGGGTTAGGGATGCAGATGTCAAGGCTGCAAGGTGGGGGGGGAGGGGGAGATCCGTAAAAAGGTTGGCGAGAACATGGGTACGGGTGACAAGGCGAGGACCACTTTCTCCGGGGAGTGGGTCCGAGAGCGGATCACAGTTCCATTTTAAGAACCTCCTTTTACGAAGGGGGAGGTGAGAGAGGGATGAGGAGTGGAGGTGGGGGGCATGCATGACTGTGATAACTCACTGCTCGGGGTACCCTCTTAATAACCTCCAAGTCCTCACCTGAAAAAAAACCACCCTCTTAACCTCACCCCCCCTTTCTCGCCGCCCCCTTCAACCTCAAACTGTAACGCGCGTCCTAGCTAACCATCTAGCTAACATCCCTAGTCAATGTCGAAACCCTTCTCGACAATGAGTTGAGACTACGGGAATTGTGTTGGTTGGAATGGGAAGGTTGGGTTGGAGGGGAAGCTTGGCTTGACAATTCCAAACCTCAGCTTTGAGGCTTGGAACTTCCCAACCCAACAAATGTGAAGATTGAAAGGTTGGATTTCCAACCAATGAGAACATGCCAGTTGTTGTTACAATCCACACAAATCTTAAAACAACCATACAATTGTGCTAAGTTGGGTTTTTCCCAACCAAACTAAAATGCCACCTAGGCTCCAAGCCTAGAAACTCCCCAACCATGGAAGCCATGGTTGGGAAGAGCCCCAAGGGGTATTGTGGAAGGGGTTGGAGCTTCCGAGCTCATTCCCACTTCCCAACTCCAACTTATCAATTTGGAAAGGGGATTTCTCTAAGTCATTTTTGGTTCTCCTAACAAGCTCTCCTACACAACTAGACTTTTGTTATTTCAAGGATAAGCTCTACAAGAAGCTACCCAACTACTCAAGCTTCATCAACCTTCTTCAAGCTCCCTTTTTTCCTCTCAAGCTTGAAGAGTACTATCAAGACTAGATTATCCCTTGGTGGGATTAGTTAAACTTGGAAGCCTTGTATCTTGATTTTATAAATATTGTCAAGGGTGATTTATATTAAACACACGGTTGCCCGTTGTTATAAGGGCCGTGGTTGTTACATTGGTATCTAGAGCTAGGGTTATCCTAAGCCTAGTGGGATTTTGCCCCTAGAGATTTTTTTTTTTTATTTAGATCTTGGAGTTGTGGTTTCTCTTTAAGAGAACACTCAAGATCTGGAAGCTTGAAGAGTACAAGATCTACAAGATCTACAACTGCAATTTCAAGCTCAGAAGAGAGATTTATCTCTCTTGCCCACCTTTTGGTGGAAGACTCTCTTGTGTTGAGTGGTGAAGTATAAGCTTGGATCTGGAGGATTTGTTGAGGGTTATACAAGTTCTCTTTATTGAGATTTGGATAGACCCTGCCGTTTCACTTCGGTGATTGGGAGTGCTTGACAACAAATCTGTTACCTTTGGTAACCTTGGATTATTCTGTAGAAGAAATTTCTTTTATAAGAATTTCTTGCTTTACCATTGAAGTGGTAAAAGGTCTTTAACAGAATCAACCCAGATCTTAAAAGCTCCTTTAATCCTTATGGCATCTGGCCAAGAGAAGGATATGGCAAGGGAGGAAGGGCCCACTGCACCTAATGAGGTGGTGAACAATGCTGCTGAGATTGACCTCAATCAAGATGAGGCAATGGCTGACATTGAGCTGGATGATATTGAGAACCTGGACCTGGAGGATGAGGATAACTACGTTGAAGCTTATAACCATGGTGAAGCTGATAACCATGGTGAAGCTGATAACATTGGGGATGAAGATAACACTGGTGGAAAGGAGGCCACTGGTGATGAAAATGACTTCACTGAGGGTGAAGACATGACTTATCCTATCTCCGAAGAGATTGTCCAACTCCAGGCTAAAGTGGCAACTCAGAATATCACCATCCTGGATCAGCAGACGTCCATTGATGGACTCAAGAAGCACATCCAGGATCTCCAGGCTGATCTGAGCATTGTCATGAAGGAGGTTACTGACTTCTGCCGCATCCTGGGCACTAAAGACCGCCAAATTCAGTGGCTTCAAAAGACTTGCAATAATCTGCAAGCAGCAGTCACCAAGCTCAATGAGCAGTTGTCCCACCTTAGGAGGGAGGGTATTTATGGACCTCCTCCTGGGCGTAGGCCCGCTCCTGCTGCTCAGCCGGCACCTGCTTCGCCTGCACCTACGCCGGTAGGCGGTGCGATGGCTATGCACCAGCCACCTCCAACCGAGACCTCGCCCTTTGGGTCTCTCTCGGCGCCTCTGCCTGAGTTTAACCATAGCAAGACGGATGTGCAACCTTGACTTGACCTGGTGAATGACACCATGATCCTTGCGAATGTGCGTCCTGAGGCTCGCATTACTGCTGCCACTCGTGCATTGGACGAGGTGGCCCGCAGGGCAGTGTATGGGGCTAAGAAGCAGGCGTAGGGACCATTTGGATGGCCGGAGTTCTGCACGGCGCTGAAAGAGGCATTCATGGTCAAGAAGTCCGACCTGGAACTGCGCGGACGCCTTGAGCATATCAAGTGTCATGACCGTCCGGTGCAGGCATATGCGGTCGAGTTGGAGGCCGCAGCACGCTCGCTCCAAAAGCCCTTGTCTGAGGAGGAGATGATGCACCTCTTCATGAAAGGCCATCCTGTCAACCTGCAGGAGGCACACATGATTGGCGGCACACCGTCATTCGCACATACATCCATGGTCCTGCAAAGCCGGACCAGCAGCCCCGTGCTGAGGGCTCCGGTGGTCGTGGGAACCGGCCCCAGAACGCCAATGGCGGAGGCGGTTCGAACAAGCGACCTTTCCAGCAGCGTGATCGTCAGCCTGGACCACAGGCCAAGAGGGCTAACGGGGGGGGGGAGGTCAGGGCCCTAACAAGCCCGATTTCGCCAAGATGCAGCGTCACGGCCGTGGAAGGATAGGGCATATCCTGAAGCAGTGTCGTGACAAGAACGCAATCAAGTACTCTGGGACGCCTAAGCTGGGCGGCGCTGGACCTTCTGGGAAGAAGGATTTTTAGAAGCTTAACTAGGGTGTGGGTACCTAGTTGGAGGAGTAGATCGAGTGGATGAGGCATATGTGCTATGTGATGATGATATATTAAAGCTAGAGAAGCTTGCTGATTGCAAAATCTCTTGTTTGTTTGCATCTTCTTTTAATTAAAACTCTGCTTTTTATCCTCGATCGTACCCACTTGAGAATTCCATGGAAGCAATGCAGGATAAATTTTTGAAGTTTTTTCTGTGGCTTGGACATCCTGCCTTCTGTCATTGAAATTGTGAGTCGTTGCACTCAAGAGCACCCCCTGACTTCGGTCGCGTTGGTGACTCGCACAGTGAAAGGCGAATTGTTCCATGCGCTTCGTGGATGGCCGGTCCTAGCGGCGTGGGACAAGGGACACCATGTGTGGTGGACCAACTCTCAGTAGCATGGACGCACTCGTCACAACGTCAAGGTGTATTACAAATGTTCGACGAATATTGTGGCATGTCCTATTCGCCTAAGGCATCAACAGAATTTGTTGCTTGCGGGTAGCGTGAACGGGGAAAATGCAAAATCATTGTTGCTACGGGTGCAACAGTGTTCCTTTTCTATGAAAAGTGGGTCACAGCACGCACGATCCTCGTTGAAGGACCGTCTTGCCCCATTCGTCTTGGTGATGATAGCATCATCCCAAGCAAAGGGCGGACACGGATCAACATGGAAATTGAGGGATATCGCGAAAAAAATTGCGCGTATGTTTTACCCCTTCTCGCAGGCGTCGACCTTGTCCTTGGAATGGATTGGCTTCGAACGAATGAAGTCAAGCTCGATTTCCAGGACAATACGGTCTCATTCTCAAAGAATGGGGATACAGTCCAGTGGCAAGTGCCCAAGGACTTGGTCACGAACGATCAACCCACGTTGGAACGCCCCGACGTGAGCTTTGCGCTTGCAAATGAGTTTGGACAGCATGTTCGACAAGCTGATTCATTCTTTGTGGTACAGCTTGAGAACGCTGAACATGAACAGCCGGAGGTCAAGGATTTTCCGCCTCAGATGAAAGCACTGGCAGATGAGTTTGCGGAGGTTTTTGAGCCCATCCTAGATGGCCTTCCTCCGGACCGTGCTGTCGGTCACACCATCCCGGTGGAACCTGGAAAACTCCCACCATTTAGACCTCTGTATCGCCTCAGTCCAGCTGAGTACGAGGAGGCTAAACAGAAAATTGAGGAGTACCTCAGGAAAGGATGGATTGAGCCAAGCGCATCGCCATACGGAGCGCCAATCTTGTTCGTGAACAAAAAGGGCGGAGGCTTACGCATGTGCGTAGACTACCTGCTCTGAACAAGAGAACGGTGAAGAACAGGTATCCCCTACCAAGGATAGAGGATCTGTTTGACAAACTCCAAGGTGCTCAGTGGTTTAGCGCACTAGACCTCGCACAGGGGTATCATCAGTTGCGCATCACTGAAGAAGATGTACCCAAAACGGCTTTCCGATCATGATTTGGTCATTTTCAATGGCGAGTGCTGAGCTTTGGCTTGACCAATGCTCCTGCCTCTTTTCAGAGGGCCATGAACGATGTCTTTCGCGAGGCGATTGGACAATTCGTTCTGGTCTATCTGGATGATATCTTGGTTTATTCCAAGACAGAAGAGGAGCACACACGACACCTTAAGTGGGTGTTGGGGAAACTACGAGAGCATAAATTTTATGCTCGTCTGTGGAAATGTCATTTCTACAAACGCGAGTTGGAATATCTTGGCCATCTCGTGGGACATGACGGTCTCAACGTAGACCCGAAGAAAGTTGTCGCAGTCCAGAATTGGCTGGTACCACAAGATGTGGGTCAAATCACGTCGTTTTTGGGACTGGCAAACTATTTTCGTCGATTCTTGCAGAATTATTCTACCATTGTTGCTCCATTGACGGCCCTCACTCGCAAAAGTAGCGCTTGGGAATGGACACAACAATGCCAAAAGGCATTCGACGAGGTCAAGCGAATGCTGACCGACGCTCTGGTACTGGTTTTACCAGATCCGACGAAACCCTATGAGGTTGTTACTGACGCCTCATTGATAGGGATTGGGGCTGTCCTCCTACAAGAGGGAAGACCCGTGGCATTTGAGAGCCGAACAGGAACTGTTGGCGGTCGTTCATGCGCTACGAACATGGCGATGTTATCTGGAGGGTGTGGATTTTGTGGTTACGACCGACCACTGTCCAAACACCTACTTTGCAACCCAAGCCACGCTGACTCGACGCCAAGCTCGATGGGCGGAACTCCTTAGCGGGTTCACTTTCGATATTCGATACCGAGCAGGTTCGACGAACCTGGCTGACCCCCTCAGCAGACAGCCGATAGGGGCAGCAACACGGCTAGACGACACAGAGGATGCAGCGGTATTTTCTGCTTGCTTCAGTGTCCTAGCAACGGCTCGAGTGAGTGAGATTACCTTCAGTGGTTTTCTGAAACGCATCCGCACAGGGTATCAACTTGACCCCTGGTTTCAGAACCCACGAAACATGAAGGAACTCAAGTGGGAGCATGAGCTCTGGTGGCGTAAGAATGAGATTGTTGTACCTCACGCCTGCGGAATGACATTATGGAAGAAGTGCATGCCATTAAGTACGGAGGACACCTAGGGGTCAAGAAGACCAGGTGGGCCTTGAGTGGCGTGTACTGGTGGCCGGGATTGGGCACTGAAGTCCAACAGTTCGTGGCGCGATGCATTGCATGCGCACGAAATAAGACGGACACAAAGAAGCCTGGTGGTCTGCTTCAACCACTCGAAATCCCGAATGAACCTTGGGAGAGCGTATCCTTGGATTTTATCACGGATCTTCCCAAGACTTGCGATGGCCATAGAGCGATCCTAGTTTTTGTGGATCGTCTGACAAAAATGGTACATTTCGTGGCTACGACAACAGACGTATCTGCGGAAGATACGGCCAAATTGTTTGTGGCGCACGTTTTCCGCTTACATGGGTTACCACGTGTCTTGGTGTCTGACCGAGACCCGCGCTTCACAAGCCGGTTCTGGCAAGAGGTCACACGGACACTAGGAACGAAGCTTAAGTTGTCATCGGCGTTCCACCCACAAACGGATGGGCAGACGGAACGAACCAACCGGACACTTGAGCAGATGCTTCGTTCATTCATTGGCCCAACTCAGGATGATTGGGACGAGTTGTTACCTGTCGTTGAATTCGCAGTGAACAATTTAGTTCATGAGGGTACACGTGAGAAACCTTTCATTCTGAACTATGGTCGGCATCCCACAACACCTGCTACGCATGGGATCGGTGGATTGAAAATTCCAGCCGCTAAAGACTTTGTTGGCAAGCAGCAAGAAGGGCCGTGGTTGTTACACACCCCCTCAACGTCAGGTGCAGCACAGCAGCGGCTGGCGGTGCAGCCCCATGGGGCTGACGGGAGGGCGCGTAGCGCGATGGACAGGGCACCACGAACAGGACGGGTAGGGCGCACCGAGCGCGATGTGCAGGGCGCTACGGGCGTGGACGGGCAAGGCGCAGGGAGCGCGGATGCGCAGGGCGCTGACGGGCAGGGCGCAGGGCGCTGACGGGCAGGGCGCATGGCGCGACGGTCAGGGCGCAACGGACGGGACGGGCAAGGCGCACCGAGCACGACGGGCAGGGCACGACAGGGGTCCGAAACGAGGCTGCATCTGGCGCCGTCGCGCAGCTCGCCATCACGAGCAGCGTGACGGACGGAAGCCGTACGATGGGCAGCACCAAGCAGGGAACGACGGGGGGCGCCATAAACGAAAGCAAAGTGCAAGCCTATGCAAACTAGGCTCTAGTCTGGATACCGTGTTAAGATTCTGCCCCTGTTTTACAGGCAGATGGGCACACCGCGGAAACGGAAATGCTTGATCCCTCGTGAAACTTTATGCTAGACCCGTTCCCCCCTATCACCCCACGAAAGTTTGCCCAGTTGTACAAGAAATTTCCACCCGCCCATGCGCTAGTGTCCACCTTCCTTCCCGTAAAGGAAGGGGGTGTAGTCACTCTTGAATTTCAACTAGTTTAAGTCTACTCATTTGAGTAAAGGCTTTTGCCCTGAAAGCAATTGTCCTTAGGGTCCAAACCCTGGGAATTTCCTGTCACTTGGATTAATTGCTGAAAGTTTCACGGGTTTGCCTTTCACGCAGCGTTTAGCGTTTGACTTGGTAGACTCAAAAATGGCTTCGCAAAAAGGAAGAGGGTTTGACCTGTTGCTATTGCTATTTCCCTACAACCCATCACCACCCTAAAACAGGAGGTGGTTGGCCTACGGCATTTGTAAATTGAAATCC